CCCCCCAGCTTCTCCCCTCCCCCACCCAAATGGAAAGTAACCCCCTCCTGCTGATTGCTAGTGAGACTTCAGGGCCTTGCCCCTACTTGTTCTTTATAACAACCACTTATGGGGCTCTTAAAAACATATGGCTTTCTAGACTTCCTTGGTGGCACAGTGGATAAGAATTGGCCTGCCAATGCGGGGGACGCGGGTTTGATTCCTGCTCGGAGCAACTAAGCCTGCGAGCCACAGCTACTGAAGCCTGCACACCCTAGAGCCCATGCTCCGCAGCAAGAGGAGCCACCACAATGAATAGGCCATGTACCGCAACCAGAAAAAGCCCATGCAAAGCAACGAAGACCCGGAGCACCCAAAAATAAATATTTTTTAAAAATGGTTTTCCACAGCAGAATTTCAGACAGGTAGCAGGTGACAATAGGGGTATTTGGAGCTGAGGGGACTTTGGAATGTAAAAGGGGAAAGTATAGTTACTCACTGTACCGACTCATTGGACCAGGCCCATCTCTAGAGGTCCAGGCCCAGAACAGTATTACTAAAAAGATTAGGGTCAGCCCAACTCGAACCACAGTTGGTTTTCCGGAGGAAAGGGGTGCACAGGACACAGAGCGGCAAGAGGGACCCTCCAAGGTGGACCCTGTCCTCCCCAGGATGGAGGACCAGGGATGGGACCGCACTCTGCCTCTTGACTCCTGAAGCCCCGCACCACCCAGATCACGCCCAGCCTGGGTGACCCACCTTCTGCAGCTCTGAGGAGACGTTGCAGGAGCTGCTGGGAGGGGACGCCCGTGGGCACCGCTGCTCCTCACCGCTCAGGGCCCAGGAGTTAGCAAAGGCATAGGGGTCCGAGGTCAGGGTCCCTGTGGAGAAAGGTTCAGGAGTTTGGAGCCGTGGTCATGAAACCTGGGACTGCTGAGTGAAAACTCTGGGTCTGTAGGCACCTGAATCAACTTTGTTTAGATTTGAACACGGGCCTCTGCGGCAGGGGTTTTGATGTTATTTGGGCACTCAGTCATGTCCGACTCTTTGTGACCCCATGGACTGTAGCTCGCCAGGCTCCTCTTGGGAATTTTTCAAGCAAGAATACTGGAGTGGGTTGCAATTTCCTTCTCCAGGAGATCTTCCCAATCCAGGGATCAAGCCCATGCCTCTTGCATTGGTCGGCAGGTTCTTTACCACCAGGATTCTTTTCTGAGCCACCAGGGAAGTCCACATAAATGTTTAGGTAATTGAAATTTTCAGAAGAAAAATGAGGATTAGCAGTGGTTTTCACATATTCCATATCATCATACTTCCTATTTTTCATGAACATATACATGCGCACACACACACATGCACATGTACACATAAACTGGCCTTTTGGACAGTGGAGAGGACCACCTTTTATAGATTTCATGTGCGAAGTTCCATCACAGTGGCTCAGGAGGACCTGTTCAGATCATCCAGCATTTATCAAACATCTACCATGTGGGGAATTCAAAGTGAACCAAGTCAGGTCTGAGGATCCCCAAGATCTGATTTGAGGACAGATCTAGGCCTTGAGGTGGAATGCTAAGAGATAAAGTTCATGAGATAAATTGAGGTGAGGACTCAGGGAAGGTAGAACACCAGGGGAGGAGTCCTAGTGTAGGTTGGTGAGCAGGGTAACACAACCACGCCCTCAGGGAATGCTGTTGCAGAAAATCTAACCTTCTTGAGTCCTGAAGTCATCTTCGGCGAAGATGTTAAAGTCACCGCACAGCCCACAGGTCTTGTTGAAGTGTCTTTCCGACAGCAG